AAATATGGCTAAGAAGATAAAATATATTAAAGGTCTATAATTTCTCCCCATAAATCCTCTCTCATCTGGGTTGACTTGCTAACCTTCCAACCCCTAAATTCTCCATAGTCTCTAAGTCTGGGTCACTGAAATGTGAGCTGGAAGTGTGGCATCCTGGGTATCTCTTAGGCCCTCTCATTGCTCATCTCATTTTGGTGGCTAAAACACAGCCTGAGGGCCACGTTGAATAAGCTCCACTCTGAAGCTCAGTGGACTGGTTCCACTTAAGACATCAACTTTCCATTTATGAAGCTTTGGGAAGAAGCCTTGATTTTGACTTTAAATATCAGTGCCTCTCATAGCCAGCATCCAGATCCCAGTTCCTAAATACTATTCCGCACAAAAGGAACCAGGATTCATAGAGAAATGGCTGGTTCTAGGACCTGGACACAATCAAGGTGAACTTGAAACATTTCAGGGGGAGGGGAGCAGAGGGAAAGCAAGCAATTGCCTAAAGAATGATGCTGTAGAGCTGGCTTGAAGGGTAATTCTGGGACCATTTGAGCATCAAAAAGAAAAATGATGATAACATTACAAAATGTAGAAAAAAAATTTAAATTCATGAGTTCATAGTGCCATAAAAGAGAGAGAAAGTCAGATGTGAGAAAATGATTATTGGTGGATCCAGGTGAAGTGCCTATGAATGTACTGTTCTTTCAAATCTTTGTAAATATAACATTTTTCAAAATAAAAAGTTGGGGGAAGGAAGAAAGAATCAGCTCCTTTCCGAAGCCTGGATATTCTGAACTTACTAAACCAATCTTCCTTGGGCAAGAGGACGTGAATAAAGTCCTCTCCTGGGCTCAGTGACCTCCGGCCCTTCTCCTCTTATCTTGGGTAATACAACCTGCCAATGGTTAAAAATGAATCAATCACACAAGGGGTTCTAAGACTGTCGTAAGTTAGGCTAATGCTAATTATCACAAAGATTTGTCAAGGACAGTGAGCAAATACAGGGGCTCTAATATTTGCTCAGTACTGAAAGCTCTATAATTAAATATAAAATAGTCTGATCCTCTCTGGCATTTGCCTGTCGCTTCTGCTTCCCAGGTTCTATATGGCACCCAAGAAAAAATGCCAGGGCTCGACAGATGCTACTCAGCAGGAAGCCGTCCTTCAGGATTAAATAGCCAGAAAGGATCACTTGAGTGCCATCTACCGGCTAAAAGCTTGCACTGCCTCAGCCGGGAACAGGCCGCCAAGTGTTCAGCATCCTATTAACAGAGGCAGGCGGCACAGGGTGCAGCCTCAGGCAGGCATTCAACAAACGGGGAAATGAATTACTTCCTCCTTTGATTTCCCCTCACATTTATTCAATGCCAATATGAGGTGCAGGTGATCAGAACCTAATCCCATCATACTGATTGATGTCTTCGTATGGTCCAGCCCTGTTTCCACAGATGGACTGTAAACTCGGTGAGGGCTCATTGTTCTCCCTGATGACCAACCCATAAGAAATGCCCCATAAATGCTTATGGCTGGGATCAAATAACACACAGTGTGTGCAAAGAGGCTTTCAGAACAAGCATAGTGAAACTGAACAAGCGTAACCGAACCAACACAGAATGAGAGAGGAATCTGACAATTATTCTGTTTGTTTCATAGCACTGACCACATTCCAATTTTTTTTTTTTTTTTTTGGTCTCTCCTCTCTAAATTGCAAGCTCCAGAATTGCAGGGACCACGTCTGTCTTGCCCATCATTGTACGTCCAGCACCTAGGAGCATCATTCAAGAAATATGTTTTGAATGGATGGGTAGAAAAAGGAATAATGCTCTCTGCTCTCTTTCCTAGGGACAATGACCAGTTGCCTTGAGCCAGTTCTGCTATCCTCAAGAAAACCTTGATTCTAGATATGGACACCATCTCTATCCAACCAGTCAGACTCCATATACAGCCAACTTTTACCCGGAGGCCAAACCCAAGACTCAACCAATGGGTGTTACTGGGAAAGGCACATGTACAAGATTTCCCTGGGCGACTGCTATCCTCTGTCTTGTTACTACTTGCTTTAGCACTCTCCTACAGGCGAATATTCTTCCCTTTCAATGCCCTGTCCCCCTCCTCCTTGGGATGGGGTATACTTCCCTACTTGACTGATCTGGGGCTCGGCCAGTTCGTCGATATGATGTGAGCAGAGGCCTTAAATGTGCCTGTGTGTTTGGCTTGCCCCTAGTGTTTTTGCAACCCCCCCTGAGAAGAATATGTCCCAAGGAGTTGCTCTTCTTTGGGCTAAGCCCTGAAGCTGGAGTGCAACACAGGCTAACCCAGCTGAAATCAGCTGAACCCCAACCAACCCACAGACCCATGATAAAGGAAAATAAAGTTGTCCTTTTGAGATGGGTTTGTTACACAGAAGAAAAACGACTGGTATAGATGAGCACATTATCACCCCTACTCCCAAAAGCTTTCACTTGGAAATTCTGTCCTATGACCATAACACTCCTCCTGCCTCCATGTTCAACTACTTTATTACCACTCCGCCTACTTTTCCATCCCACTGACACCGCTAGTCCTCTCCCTTCTCCATGCTCTTTCTGGTTTCATGTCCTCTCCAATCGGGACAACCATGTCTCAGCCAACTCTGGGATCCACCAAATGACTGGTTTTATTCACCTCTGCTCCCATGCTGCTAGAGAGCACTGCCCCACTGGCCAAGCGGCATCACCTCTACAGGAAATCCAGCCTCCACTGGATCCTCAGTCTTGCTTGGACAAGCTTTAATTTATCATGAGCTGGTGCCTCTCCTTGGTCCTCCCGTGGCCGTCCCAAACCTCTGGTATTCTCAAGTGGCAGCCATACGTCCACTCTTGCTCTCAGCAGAGATTTCGCTTCCCACTGGGGGCCCCACCAGCGGAGGTAGGATGCTACCGTGGTTAAGAACAAGCCGTCTCAAATCACAGACACTTCGGCATCTTCCTGTTTTACCCACAGATGAGCAAAGGCACAGCTCCACCATCAGCCCCTTCTGCAACTTTTCCTGTCCCTGCCTCTCCAGGATTAGCTGTTCTCCGGTCTCTAGTCTGGAGCACTCAGCCATACCCTAGTTCCCAGCCTTTCCATGGCTTCTCAGTGCACTTAGAATAACACCTAAACGCTTTACCGACTTTCCCTGCTTCCAAGGTCATGGGTGAGCCGATGCCAGCAGATGGCTCCACCCCCTACCACAACCCCGTTCACTCAGACCGAAAAAGAGCCACCTCCCACATCCAAAGGGGAAAAAACCCCAAAGTTATCTCCTATACCACGAAGGTCAATGTGAAATCTAAAACTGTGCATTATATCTCTAGTTATGTCTTTCTTAAACTTTCACTGAAAGTAGTTTTATTTCTGGACCACCCACCAGCTTGGCAATTAAGGAGCATATAGAATAATAATGACATATTTATTGCATTAGTTGAGCTTTTACTACATGCCAGACAAAGCATTAAGTGCTTCACAGGCATTATCTCACCGAATTCTTGAAACAACCCTACGAGGTAGCATTATTCCCACTGTAAAGAAAAGGAAATGAAGCTGAGCAAGGTTAAATGACTTGGCCAAGCGCACAATGCTAGTGACTGGCAAAAGTATAAAACCCAGGTGTGTCGGGGCACCTGGGTGGCTCAGTCGTTAAGCGTCTGCCTTCGGCTCAGGTCATGATCCTGGAGTCCTGGGATCGAGTCCCATATCGGGCTCCCTGCTCTGCAGGGAGTCTGCTTCTCCCTCTGCCTGCCGCTCCCCCTGCTTGTGTTCCCTCTCTCGCTGTGTGTGTCTCTCTCTCTCTGTCAAATAAATAAAAAAATCTTTAAAAAAAACCCAAAAAAACCCAGGTGTGCAGCATTCCAGAGCTTGGACTCTTGATCCTTATGCTATACCATCTCCCGGAACAGCTGCCAAAGGAAGACCAGGGTTAAATCCCACAGCTAACCTACCTAGAAGATCATCTACCAACTACTAAATTAAGTTTTCTAGAACCCGCCGAAAATGACTTTGAAGTTTTAGAGCTGCAACCAAGACCAACACTTTAAAAAATTATCTGTATTCTGGATAATTTAACTCCCAGGTTCATCTGAAAATACCAATACACCCCTTCTCCTCCAGGTAGAGCTCAGGTCCTTGGCTGCAGACCACACAGCTCATCCTTTGCCTGAAACTCTCGAAACTCATGGCATTTTGCTACAGGTTGGATCAGGCAAAGAATACCAATAGTACTCCATCTTCCATCTCTGCAAACTGGAAATATCATTCATAAGAGGGAATTTGCTCAGACTGTCAGCTCATCCTGGTTGCTTCTGATTCAAACAGGGAGCATGTAACATAGGCTTAACAAAATAACAGTTTGTACATTGCTCCAGATCCAGACTCTCAGAGGGATACTCACCGTTGGGGCACTGCGGAGGGGAGTTTGAAACTGAGAGGTTAGATTTCCACTCTATATTCAGAGGACTACTGAAACTCAGAGGGGAACCCTAATAAAGATTAAGTAATTCTTAGAGAAGAAGTCGAACCCAGAAAGAATCCCTTTTCTGGGATAAGTGGCATGCTGACAATTTGATGTGGGTTCCAGGAATTGAACTCAGGAGTCCAGAAATTTACCAATAGAAATTCAGATTGAAAACACACTCCAGGACTTAGCATATTTAAAGCCTTATTCATTGCTTGCTGACCACTGCTAATACACAACTGCTTCTGAAATGGACACGAGGCATGCTGTGTGCAGAATGTCTTGGCTGCAATTAGGAGAAAGGAAAAGATTTAAGAGCAGACATAAACCTCCTGTCGCCAATTCCAAACAGATGTCCACAATCCACACCCAGCAGATGGAAACACGTCTTTGTTTTTTATAGTCTTACCTAGAAAGCCCTCTGGCCAAAGCTTTCCAGAACTCAGATTCCAACCAGCTAAACCTCAGTCTGTTGCAAGCTGAGCCTTGAAAGCAGCATGCACCAGAGGGGGGAGCTGCCTTGGGGTCTACTTACGCATGCAGTCTCCTCCGTACCAGCCCGCGCGGCACTCTGCGCAGTAGACCCCCTTCACGTAGAAGTCATCCAGCGTGCCCCCCCACGAGCCATTTCGGCAGGTCTTGCAGTTTTCAAAGATGGTACAACCTGAAACATGTCCCAGCACAAGGATGTTAGATTATGCACTTGCAGGGTCTGATGGGCGGCATGTGAGAGCAACTGGACCTTCTCAGGGCCTCACCTCCACCGAGGGCCTCTGCCCCTAGAAAGGTGCCAGAGCCCTTGGGAAAAAATGCTCATTCCTAGGAAAATGCCAGAGTCACCAGAATTCGCAGCGAGGAGTCTAGGAGGATGGTCTGAACCATCTTCCAAGTCAGCGGCTGATGTTCCACATGCTTATCATGGAATATTGAGAAAATTCAGACAAGCAAAGAGCATGAAATTAAAAATACCTAGAGGTCCATCACCTGGGAACAACCACTGGTAACACACTCTCTCTGTGTATACAGAAAAACAATTTTTTAAAAATTAGACTTATCCTATATACTGTACATTCTGTTTTTGTCACTTACTTTTTCAGGTCCTAATAGAGAGTATCTTCCTGTTCCATCAAATATTCTTCTATGTCCTATACTTCTATAACCAAAGTATGCCATTGGAAACAACCCTAATGCCTAATAACGGGCTTACCCTGGAAAGTGCCGGGCTACCCCCACTAGCAGGCCACACCAGAGAGGGTTGAGTGGTTCCCAGGTAATGGTCATTTTTATAACATGGTCTCTTGGGTGGGGGGGAGGCACTGATGAAAGAGATAATCCAATCCCACTTATCAAAATGGAAAGCTACGTTCTGGCTCTGCCATTGTCCAGCTGTGTTTCCTTAAGCAAACTGCTTAAGGTCTCTGTGCCCCAATGTCATCATCTGTAAAAAAAACGGTTAAAAATTGTACCTGCCTCTTAAGGTTGTTTTAAAAATTAAATTAACATATATAAAGGGCCTGGCACATAGTACATACACCCCAAATATGAACTATGATTCTTATTCTGTGTTCTCATACCTCCACTTGGCTTATCCCTACTATTGCATATGTCATGCTCAATCTTAACTGCCTATTATCTGTTTTCCTATAACAGAATGAAGTCAGGAACTGCATCTTGTTCAACAATATATCCCCAGCACTTAATATAATATCTGCAACATAGCGAGTGCTCAATAAACACTATTTGAGTGAATGAATAAATGGACATATGGATGGATGGATGAACTGCTAATCCGGGCTTCTCAACCTTTTGAAATAACTGGCATTTCCTTGAGCTGATAGCACACTTCTTTGATTTTGGCTGAAATTACGTTTTCCTTGGCCCATAGTGTATACATGCAGCATATGACTGTGTGGTTTCTGGAGGACAGAGACTCATAGTCCTCTCCTTGCACACCACCCTGACGTGGCTTCCCTGTCCCAGTGCTTCTTCCCACCAGAGAAGAGATGCTAACATGATTCATCAGATTCCAGTAAGTCATATGTGGCCCACAACTGGGTCCCAGCGGAGTCACTATGCTTTCTAAAGGCCATCTTCACCCCCGTGCCACTTTCCCCTCTTTGGTTCCCTATCCACTGTGCCACTGAGGAGGCAAAAGGACTCAGAACGTGCACCCAGTGACCCTGCCAACCTTCTCTCTCAGCCCGGTAACTTCAAAGACTTTAGGTCCCAAGCCACAAAAACCAGCCAGGTGATGAAGGTGAACAAGGCTATCACGAAAATACACTCAGGAGCTCACAGCATTGCCACAAAAGCCAGAGGACCGAGTTCAGAGCTACGTAGCCTAGAACTACATGAAAATACACAGGAAACTGGGTCCACAGAGGGCCCCAGGTCTGCTGGAGACCACTGACGTCACTACTGACATCCCCACCACGGTGCCCCAGATGTTGGTCTGCCTGCAACCACCACCACCGGCAGAGATGCTTGGTTGTCTACCATGATGAGCGAAATAACAGAAATTCTAAAACCATGCCGAGATCCCATTTCTCACCCTTGAGGTTGGCAAAAATCCACAATGATTTGTGTTGCAACGCTTTGGAGAAACGGCGCCCTCATACCCAGCTGCTGCGAATGCTAAGTGCGAGGGAGACAAGGCAAAGTTGGCAAGGTGACATATGTACCTCTCTTGGACTCAGCAATCTCTCTCCCAGGGACCTACCCCAAAGAACACTGCAAAAATATGAAATGATGTATGTCTAAGGCAATTCGCTATAGTATTATTTGTAAGAGCAAAAGGCTGGAAACAATCCAAATACTCATATACTATAGCAATCCACACAATGCAGTTATATACAACTGTAAAAATAAATGAAAAAAAAAAGGCTCTATACTGTCAGAGAGTGATCTCCAGCAGATATTGTTAAGAGAAAAAAAGCAAGATAGTTAGCAGTGTTTATTGTAGGCTATCTTTTGTGCAAGAAGGGGAAAGATATATAAATGTATATACAAACGTATATTTGCTTATGTTGTCATATATAGAAAAGAGATGGAAACAACAAATCTATCTATATATCAAGTAGGTGATATAACACCACAGACAAAAGGACAACATCGGTTGGCTTTAAAACATAGAATTTTGACTATACATATTGAGTGGGATATATATAGTCTAAGGTCAATAAAAACCATAATCATCAGTGGTCTTATTAGTATTAATGGTGCTATTACAAACAAAATTAGCGCTATTGCTATTTTGTGCAATTATATTATGCCATAAGACAGAGCAATAAGTGATCAGGTTAGTATTGTTAGGAAACAGGCTGTCCACCATGATGGAAAAGACATACAAATACAAAATCAACAAAGTTAATTAAACAACGCTGGAATATTATTACATTTGAACTTGAGTATAGACTCATTTTTTTTTTAAATGCCTATTTCCTAGCCCCATCCACTTTAAATAAATAAATAAATAATAGCCCTAGTAAAACGATGACAGTCCAGTAACAAGGAACACGTTAGATGCCCAGAGTGTGGCCTCAGATCAGAATTCCTTAGAGAAATGGCCGATTCCAGGCCTGGGGCAGAAAATACACAAGAAGAGCCTGAAACATCTCGTCACGTAGGAAATCAAGGAAGTTTTCAAACACTAGTGTGGTCTTGTCTGAAGAAGACAGGACACAGAGGGGTCTCCAGGGTCCTGAGATGGGGGGGAATGCATGCATGAAAATGGATCATGACTGCAATGGATTAAACCACATAAATAAAAGTACCTAAATTCATAATCTCACACACACACACACACACACACACATACACACACACTCTTCGATCACCAAAAGGGACTGTTAGGGTATCAGCTCACTATTTTGAAAATTAGAAAAAGAAAAGAAGCCTTTAGGCAGCCTTCCCTTTCAGGGTAACCAGCTCTTCACTACTTAGATCCAAAGATCATTCCCAGCACCGCTCAAGGGGGTGATAGCGGGTGCCTCCTGGATGACCTAACAGGAAGCTATTGGGTGCAGTTGAGGCAGGTGGTGGACTGCCTTCTGTACAATGCAGTAAGAAGCACAAACACCACCTCTGGAGTTCTCTTACTTATCATATCATAAAACCAAAGCCCTGCTCTCACCCCAACGGGGACCGCTAGGCTTTTGAAAATATTGAAAATAGTTCAAAGACTTTAATACAACTGCCAAGGACCCCTAGTCGGGAGATCCTGGTTAAGCTCTCAAAATGACCCTATAAAATTTGGAGGTATTCCTCCACTATGTCCCTACAAAGCACACTCACCATCAGGGAATTGGGGCAGTGGGATTTCTTTTAAATCAAATATACAAAGGCTATATACTGAGGTCACTCCAATTTTCAAATTCAGCATTGCTTGCTCTCTTCTAAGAAAGAAGATGGTTTAAAAGTATCATTTGTTTACTTGAGTCCCATTTGCTTTCCACTTCTATAGCTTCCCACAAAAGAAAGTTCCTGGCAGTTACATGGGTCATTCTGTGTGTTTGTAAAAAAGGGGAAAGGCAGAAATGAGAGAAATTCCCCCAAATACACTTCTGACATCCTTTCGGTCTTCAGCCTAAGGGAAGAGTGTTGGAAACTCTGTGTCCTCCTTTTGATCCGGCCTAACAGGGAAAGGTAAGACTCCCCTGGAAAAAGTCAGATATGCCAGGCAGCAGGTAGGAAAGTACCTAGAAATTGTTCAATGACTTGCTAATCATGCTGGAAACATCTTCAGTCTGAGGCTCAGTGTCCACACAGGCCTCCAGACAGATAGGCACTTCAGTGAAAAAGGACAATCACTGTCCCCTAGATGGTGGGGACAGAGAGCAAAGGAATGCACACTGTGGCCTGGGAAGGTCCCGCTTCACCCTCAGATGCTCTCCTATTACTGGGACCAACTCCTCAAAGTCCAACTCTGAGCCAGAGCATCATGCTTGATTTCTGCTCTTCCTTTCCCCATGCAGCCAATCTCAAATTGTTGTCAATTCCACTCTCTTGCATATCTCTGAAATCCTTCCACCTCTCTCCATCCACAGGGCTTCCTCATTCATTAAGGTCCCCGTGATCCCCTCCTGCCTTCTGTCCTGCCCTTCCTCCAATCCTTTCTCCATACTGCAGCCACAGAGAAAATCAGCTCTCATGTCTTTACACAAAGATCTCTGATGTTGCTAAAATAGCTTCAGGAGATGGCCTGAAGTCATCGCACAGCTTGCAAAGCCTTTCAGGGTCTGGCCCTATTCTCTCCCTGAGATTGTTCTAATATTTTCTCTTTGTCTCTCTATCACTCTCCACGTTTCTCATCACACACACACACACACACACACACACACACACACACACACACACACCCCTTCGGCCAGACCAAGGAACTTGCAATTCCCAAAACCCGATGCTTTCTCTCACCACAGGGCCTTAGCACATGCTCTCTTCTATGGCTTGATCTCTCTACCAGATCCCCTCCACCCTGTTCAGTTTGCTGCTTCCATCTTCGGCACACATATCGCCTCCTCCAGGAAGTCTCCACCGCCCCCATAGCCATCCACGCTCCCATGGTACCTCATGCTTCTCTCTCACAGAGCTCACCGCACTGTATTGCAGCAGCCTGCTTACTTCTCCATCTCCCCGGCCAGGCTGCAAGCTTGGGAAATGCAGGGAATGTGTCTTTTATTTAAATCATTGTATTCCCAGTATCTGATAGGGTCCATAGTAGCTGCTGAGTCTTTTGTTAAATGAATGAGTGAGCGGATGAATTCACAGCCTTATTAGGGTAATGGTGACAGGGTCCTAATTCTTCTACTCCCTTTGCCTGAAGTTAGAACAGTCAGGATTATGCCGCTTTTAATATCATGGCGTCGTAGCTTCTGATCCCTGCCTGCCCAGAGGTAAGTGTGCAGTCTCTTCCCGTTCACGACCTCAGAAAACGTGAAGGCAGCCTGAGGCCCCCATTTCACACTCACCTGGGTGAATGAGGCAGGAGTCACACTCATTCTCCTCGTTCCTGCAGCAAGGGATGGTGTAACCCACTACTTCCTTCTTTCCGGGGCAGACGCACTCAATCTGATCGTATTCACAGCACTCCCGACACATGATATTCCACTCGGCTCCAGGGCAGGCTTCATTAATGACTGTGTACTCTGAAATGGGAACCAGCAGCTGAAGACAGAGGAAGGGGTCAGACCCATAAGTACTCTGTAGCCACAAAGCAACCTTGCCTTACAAATGCATCGTCCTGCCCAAATGAGAGAGAAGGCCATGGGACTTCTTTCTAGGCCGATGTCTCCAAAGTAGGGTGGCCTAACCTGAAGGGTGTTCAAAACCATCCACTGGGGCACAGATGAAATTCTGTTAAAAATAGTTTCATTTTTATTTTTTAAATTAAAAAAAAAACAAGGAAAAGAACTCATGTTTTATCAATATATAATCTAAGTGGATATGCACATAAATAATTTATAAACAAGCATACATTTCTTGAGGGTCTATGTTCATTTCTATTTTTGCTGGAGTATATCAGGCTACTGCTTCCAGCTACATGGGTCATGCATTGCACAACTCCAAGAGGAACCATCCAACTAAACGACTGTCCAGCACAGCCCAGGCACTGGGGCCACCAAACAAGTTTGGGGAACACTCTCTAGACTAGGCCATTCAAGTTCAAGGCTAATTGCCAAATAGAGACCATGTCATTTCCTCCAAACTTGGCTCCTCAATTTCGCAGCATGCCATTTTTATCGTATCTTCAAAGCTAAAACCAACAGAAAAGACAAAAAGTATCTTAATTAGTATGTTTGGGAGAATTTCAGTGCTTTACCAGGGTGAACTCATTGGCAGAACTTCATTCAGTCCCCAAATACAACTGAGTGTTCTTTCCCATGAGAAAAAAAAAAGAAGTATTCCTTTCTGGGTAGGACTTCTGTCTGTCTTTCTTTTTTAAAACATACCTTAAGTAAATGAAAAAGAAAAACCATCTGGTAAAATCTATAAGAGGAATCAGTCGGCGGCTGCCCAGGGGAACCCAGTCCAAGAAACAGACTGAGCTTTGATTTGCTCTTCTTTCTTCCCCACTCTCCATGTCTAAAAGTTTTGCACAAAGACGATGATTGAAGAAGAAATAGGTCAGCTGTGAGGGAGAAAGTGCATCTGCTCTTGTGTGAAGCCTTCCCTTAAAACCCTGGGCAGGGATCCCCCAACATGCTTTGCAGGTCCACATAAACCCATGGTAGCATCTGCAGTGGCTTCTAACCTCTCGAATTTCACCGTTTAGCTTTCTATTTTCCTCCTGTAGATTTGGAAGTCTGACACTGGGTTGATCATCCTTAATCTGCCAGGTAGAACCATCTAGAAAAACCATCACCATCTCCTGTCAGCCTCAGGTCATAAGAACATTCTAGCATCAAAGAAAGGAACCACTTGCAGAATAAGGGACAATTCCTTAAATGGAATAAATTTAGCTGTATGAAAAATGCTCTTATTTCTTTTCCCACAAACTTTGGCAGACCAGCCAAGATTCTCACACTGGCATTTGGGAATGATTAGGACAGATTATTGTGACAGTGTCACTAGTGAAGTTCTCTTTCCCCCACTACTCTGTGGGGCCCTGCAGGACAGACACCAGGACAGACTTAGCTGAGCTTCCTATGTTTCTGATATCAGCCGGATGACATGAATGACGTCTAAAATGTACAAAAGAACTTAATGGTTAAAAGTGAGAAAGGGCAGGAGAAAACACAAGGGTAAATCTCCATTGTATTTTGCAATCAATCCTTAGAAATGACACTTAAACATGAACAACAAAAGAAAAACAGGTAAGTTGGACTTTATCACACTTTAAAAATATTGTGCAGTAAAGGACATTATCAAGGAAGTAAAAAGACAGTCTACAAAATGGGAGATTTGTAGATTAATAAATATGGGTTTAATATCAAATTAAGTATTTGATATGGGTTTAATATCAAATTAAATATTTGATATGGGTTTAATATCAAAAATACATAGAGAACTCCTACAACTCAACCACAAAAAGACAAACAACCCAAGTTTTTAAGTAGGCAAGTAGCATGAATAGGTATTTCTCCAAAGAAGATAAACAAATGGCCAATAAGCTCGTAAGATGGCTGACGTCATAAGTCACTGGGGAAATGCAAATCAAAACCATGAAGAGATACCACCTCCCAGGACTCCGATGGCTATAAGAAAGGAAAATAACAAGAGTTGGCAAAGATGCAGAGCAGCTGCAACCCTCATGTATTGCTGGTGGGAATGGAAACTGACTGATGCAGGTGCTGTGGAAACCGGTGTGGTGGTTCCTTCAAAGGGAAACCTAGGGGCGCCTGGGTGGCTCAGTCGGCTGAGCATCCATCTGACTCTTGGTTTTGACTCTGATCATGATCTCAGGGTCATGAGATCAAGCCTTGCATTGGACAGCACTCTCAGAGGGGAGTCTGCTTGAGGATTCTCTCTCTCCCTCTCCCCTCGCCCCTCCCCAGCTCACAGGTGCACATGTGCTCTCTCTCTAGAATAAATAAATCTTTACCAAAAAAGGAAGGTAAACATAGAAATACCGTATGTCCTAGCAATTCTACTCCCATGTATATACCCCAAAAATTAAAAACAGGGACTCGAACGGATACTTGTATGCCAAAGGTCATTGCAGCACTATTCCTAATAGCCAAAATGTGGAAAGAGCCCAAGTGTCCATCAAGAGATAAGTGAATAAACAAGATGTGGTCTATGATACAACGTTACTCAAGAGTGGGGGATATTACTCAGCCGTGAAAAAGAATGGGATACCGCTACATGCTACAGTATGGATGAACCATGAAAACACGCCAAGTGCTATGCTACGTGAAAGAAGCCAGTCACGAAAGGACAAAGATTGTCTTGAAAAAGTTTTGGAAATAGTGGTGAGGCTTCACAACACTGGGAATGTAATTAATGCCACTGAGCTGTATACTTTAAATGGTTCATATGGCAAATTTCACATTACATATATTTTGCCACAGTTTTTTTTTTTTTTTTTTTTAACATAAAGAAAAGTGAGAGACAACAAAATGCTTAGAGGCTCAGGCACTGGGGTCAGACAGACCTGGGGTTGGAATGTCGCCTCTGCTACTTACTGAGGGTAAGAACTTGGCCGAGTTACTTTACTCACTCAGCCTCCGTTTACCATCCAGTAAAATGAGTACATTTTCTCCAACTCAGGGGCCTGCTTAAAGGACTAAATCAGGTCATGTCCATAAAGAGCTTAACACAGTGCCTGGTATGTAATAAGCATTCAATAACTAGTAGCTTATAAAGGAAAAGAGCACAGAACACCCACATTTCTCAAGGGTCTTATTTTTTAAATGTATAGCACATCAGTTTCTTACTTAAAATGTTTGTGTTGGTTCCCATTGCATTCGGAACAAAGCCCAACTGCTCCCTCTGCTGAGAACCCCTCACTCCCTATCCCTCCAACCCCTTTCTTGACTACGGTCTCCCACCTTCTACAAGTTTCTCAAAACCACCAAGCTCTTGCCCACCTCAAGGCCTTCACATTCGCTTTTCCCACTGCCTCTATTTCATCCTTTAGGGCTTATTGTAAATGACACCTGCTCAGAGAGGTCTTCACTGACTTTCTCACCCAAAGTACATACCCCTGCCTACCCCTCCACGCTAATCTCTACCACAGTAACCCAGTCGTTCCCTTGCTTAGCCCCTACCACAATTTATACTCACTTTCCATGCTTCCACTTACTTGCTTATTGTCTATGTCCCTTATAGGACCATAAGCTAGTAGGAACCACATCTAACTTGTTCATGGCCATAGGGAAGGGTCTGGCACACAAGAGGCGCTCTATAAATACGTGTTGGATGAACCCGTCTTAATGCTAGACCTACGCTACCCTCTATTCAATAGTCAAATATTTCCATTCAGTAGGTCTGGCTTGGAACTACAAGCCAGGGGAGCTGGCTTCACCCCATAATTTCCTAATATCAGAGCTGGGGCACTTTCCATCCATAGAGAATTACTTGGAATAGATGGTCCAGTTTGCCTGTCTTGGGCCCAAATCCCTTGTCTCCAGCCCCCAGCTTGTCCAGCAAACATGCCTGTGGGGTGTGGCTCATGTCTTACCCCCTCTCTCTGTTCACCTTAGGGCAAGCACTACATCCTTCTAGGTTTTCTAAGAATTTAGAAACACTAATAACTCCCGGGAGGGCAATGATAGGATAAAAGTAATTTGCAACTTTTATAAGACTTTATATTTAAATGTAGAAGGCCAAGTAAGGTCTGCTCTACTCCCACAGAGAGCGAAGTCTATCTCCCCCTAAGCAGCAGGCTTGTTCACCTCTGGCCCAGCCGTGGAATATTCTGGGTCTCCTTTTTACCCAGGAATTAATTCCCTAAAATGCCTTCATTGGCATTTCTTTTAACGTCAATGAGCAAGCTCCCCTCTGCCCTCCCAAGCCCATTATATTAACTTTATAGGTAAGGTCCAGGGCATTGTATCATCTTAGCCAAAGGGAATGATCACCGAAAGCCCATTCTGTCTGGCAGTTCAGCCACCTGGCTCCTTTTCAAGGATTCTGTGTGTGACATACAGAACAATGGGCCCTCCCAAAGATGCCCACATCCTAACCCCTCCAAACTATGAAAGTACTGCCTGATATGGCAAAATGGATTTTACAGATGTAACCAATTTAAGGATCTTGAGATGGGAGAAATATGCTGGATCATCCAGGTGGGCCCAACATCATCGAAAGGACCGCTATAAAAGGGAGGTAAGGCGGTCAGAGTCAGAAAAGGAGATGTAACAGCAGAAGGAGAGACCGGACTGATGTGCTCTGAAGATGGAGGGAGGGACCACAAGCCAAGGAACGCAGACAGCTTCTGGAAGCCAGAAAAGGCAAGAAGACAGATTCCCTCCTGGAACCTCCAGAAGGAATGCAGGCCAACTGATACTTTGATTTTAGCCTTAAAAGACTCCTTTCAAACTTCCGACCTCCAACACTAGAAGAAAGAAATGTGTGCTGTTTTAAGTTACTAATAAGTCTGTGGTAATTTGTTACAACCCCCATTGAGAATTTGTGTCTTCTCAAAAAAAAAAGGTTGATCCACAGCAAGTCATTTAACCACTGAGTTTCCCCACTGAGCTCA